GCGGTGTAGGAGAGCAGTCACGGAGGCAGAGCGAGAGAGGCGGAGTGAACGGGCGATAATCGAGGATTTGAATGGGTGGGCCGGGAGCCGGTAGGGTTAGCAGGCACGAGCTGAACGCGGTGCCAAAGAGCGACGTCGGTCACGGGGATCGGACCCTCGTAATCGGCGAGCCAGCAGCACCACCGGCACCTGCCTGTCGGTGTCACCCGACGTCCAATTCGGATCTCGCGATATCGGCATCCGGCCACCTCGTCCCCGCCCATCTGCCACCTTCGCCGCCGCCACTCGCCTCGCTGCACATCGTGGTCGACAACTGCACCTTCATCGGCAACAACGATACCATCACCGCCAAGCCGGACGCGGTCTCGAACGGTACCAAGGCTGCTGCGACCATGTCCTCGCCGCCCAAGCATCGAAGGGGCTTCGACCCCAACGACGTAAACGCCACCGACTATCGCCGTTATCGTCGCGTTAAGACGAAACGGTGAGTTTCTCTCCCATCTTGTCTTTCTTCTATCTTCTCCGTTCGAGCGGAGCTACGTGTTCACCTTTGCCGTGTATACCGGCTCGTCTCTCTACGTACGGAACGAGTGTTGCTGCTGCTCTTGATGTTGCTCGTCCGACGGCTCGCGCCGTACTTTTGGTACGGAATTTCTCTCTGCCTTTAACGAAAGGAACGCGAACCGTCCGCGGCACGTAGCTCGTTCCGTATATCTTTTACCCGCCTTTACCTTGTTTTCATGTTCTGCCTCGTTAACCCGGTGCTGCAACCATCCTGGTTTCCCTCGTGTGTCCGCGAGCAGAGCGGTCCCGTGCTCGGTCGTTCACCGCCCTCGCCGAACGTGTTTTTCGCTTTCTATAATTGGTTCTCCTGCATAATTTAGACGGCTCTGCTCGCGACCAATCGTCGCCCGATATACTACGTCGATTCGCTTTCGATCTCCGGTCGAGACACCCCCCCGACGCTCGACCTCTACGCCCTCGAGAATCCTCCGTGTCCGATGGAAATACCCCCGACTGTTTCTATCGTTTCGTACAATTCGATACGATAACTTCGCTTCGAGGAAAAATGCCACGGGAAAACACGTTGACATAACTCGTCGCTCGGCTGACTCGCGCGTATTTCCCCGACGTATTTCCGTTCTACGCGGTATAAATTCGTTATCGATTGCCGGCGGACGACGACCGATAACGACCACGGGACCCTGTTCCCCTCGTCCGGTCTTGTCTCTCCGGTGTCGCTCTCGAAATTTCTCTCGCGATCGCGGAAATCGAGATGATCCATCTCGAGGGCGTCGCGTAACGCGAACAACGCACGAGGGACTCGGACGAAGCATGACGATCCCTGCGTCACCCCCCCGATCCCTGACTTCCCTCCGGAACACGGCGTTCCAGCCTTTCACGCAGCTTCCACTGACAGCGAATGCACAATGTTCACAGAGGCTTTGTATGTTCCACACCGTGACCTTGGGCGCCGGACACAGACCTCCCCGACATCTCCCGACATATATCTGTCAGCACGAGGCATTAAAACACACACAAGCTTGCGATGTTCGATGTTGGATCGCTTACTGGTTGTACCCCCGTCACGAACAAATACCATCAAAGTCATAAATAAAAAAGAAATAGAAAAGAAAAATAAATAAATAAATAAACGGAAACGTAACACGATAAGACGAGAGCCTGCGTGGCTAGGCTGCATGTCGCGGACGCAACGCTCGTTATGGCGACGCGTTGCACCCAGAGGATCATCGAGCGCGTCCTCGACGAGCCACCACGATAGATCTATTATACATATATGTATATATATATATATATGTATGTATATCTATATATTGATACGGAAAAAGTATAATAAAGAAACAGGAAAAAAAAAAAGTATATATAATAATCGTAACGAATAAGTAAAAATAATAAAAGCATAGGGCGACCAGCGTATCGGGTCTCATTGCTCCCCCGACGCTTTCGATCGAAGCTTGGAATGCGATGCAATGGAATGGAATGAAATGGAATGAAGAGTCTTGCACCTTGGACGATAAAGCTTTCACGCACTACTCGATAATCGGCGTGGACCGACGAGGAGGGACGCTGATCCGTCCTCCTCTTCACCCTTCTCGCGGCGAATACCTGGAACACCCTTTGTTTCATGCGTCGAGCCGAAAGAAAACTCGCTTCCGCTTGCGAGGAACGTGCGAGGAAACGCAGGAAATCGGGACCCAGACGCCCCGGAACCGCCCTCCACCCCTTCCACCATTCTACCGAGAGAAACCATCGCGTTTCCCGTTCCAATCGCGACGCGCAGCCTCTCCTTTATCCCGCTTACCCTGTTCGCGATAACCGCGATAAATCGACGCGATTGCAACCCTTATTTCGTCCCGCCAACCCCGTTCGTCGTCGAGGAACCTCGGACACGCGATTCGCCGCGCAGGGTGTGGCGGAAATCGTGCGTCGACCTGAACCACGTCCTCGGCTGCGGACCACGCCGAGAAAAATCCCCGATACGAGGAAAGCGATATTAAAAATTCCCAGACCACTCCACTCTCGCGTCATTCGATTCCGGCCTATCGAACGTCCCTTCGCGACGGTCTAGGGTTATTTTTCCGGGTAAAACGAGCTTCGTTTACTGGGCCACTCGGTGCCTCTCGCGCGAGTTTTGTCGCGGCCTGTACGAATCGCGAAGCTGGATAAACCGCGACCCTCTTTGCACGCCGTTTCGTCGACGGGCTTTGAACGTTGCGTTACAAAGGAGGATAAGGGGAAGCGAGTGATTCTCGAGTAAAATCCGGTTTCCCTCTCCGATGCCACGTTTCTCTCGCCGTGCAAAGCGTTCGAGAACGATGAATGTTGGAGCGTCGCGTCGTCAAAGTGTCACCTTTCATCCCCCGGTTCGTCTCTTTTATTTCCGCGTTCGTTGCTCCGGGAAGGTCGTACATGTTTAATCGCCCGCTGCCAGGAACCGTTGCATGCCTTGTTTTTAATATCAAATGTGCACGAGTGTTTCGAGCTGGATGATTTTTAAAACGCCGCACCGGCGCGAATTTACGCGTGAAAGCTGTCAGGGAAGATCTCGCGGACCGAGACGAGCGGCGGACAGGGACGCGGAGGGTGGCGAACGCGAGGCGTCGACGCAAGCGTGACAAATGTCGCGTACGAATTGCAGATTTTATACGGCGGCACGCTGTTAATCTTCCCACGAACAATTAATACCTTCTGTACCACGCTCGTCCACGCTCGTGGCCAACTTTTAATTAGCGAGGCGCGGTGCGGCGCGTCCGCGAGCCTCCGACACGCTTCCCGCTCGATCGCTCGCTCGAGAGTGTCACGGATGAAAATATTTCAGCGGAAAAGCCTCTATTTTTCCCATCGAGAGCACCCAGGTGTGCAGGCACGCGCGCGCGCGTGTGTGTGTGTGACCGTCGAAAACGCGCTTCTCCGAATTTCTATCGCGTCGAGTGCTGGCGCGGTGACCGGTTATAAAATTGCCGGCGATTTTCTCCCCAATCGGGATTAAATATCGCGTGTCGTGTACGTCGAGTGCACCACTCCCTTTTTATCTCCACACGCTCGCGTCCGCGCGTGCGGGACGAGAATAGGACAACGGTGCTCGCGACCAGGAATCCCGAATCGACCGATCGATCCACCGATTCTCCGCCAGTTACGAAGTTTAGTAATCGGAAGGCCAGGCCCGGTCGATAGATATGAATGAGCCGTTATTTTCGGTCCAAGAGTTTTCCAACTTCGACCCACGTGCTCCTGCCGTGATTTTAAACGAGGTCTACGCCTTCGGCGAAATGGCGGAGGTCTAGCCGCTGTCAACTCGCCGACGAAACGACCGAGGGGGTAAAAACGAAAACGAAATTCACAGAGGTACTTACTTGCGCTAGGATTTTATCGAATTTCCAAACGTTTCGCGAGGGACGTGGGAAAGGAACTCGATAAAGTCGAGTAAAATTCATCGTGGAACTTGGCAGAATGTATCACGATAGTAACGACAATTTCAACTAGAACCTTCTAAAATCGAATTTCGCAAGGAACTGCAGGAAAGGTAGAGAAAGAAACCCCTTTGGTGCGCATTACGTCGTTAAACAGTGCTAATTTCGATCGAACTTGGTCTAATTTAATTACCTTTTCCACGAAGTGGAAACGTCGAATTTCGCTAGAAATGGGAGAAGCACGCGTAACGGATCCGAGGTGAGAGGTAATAGAAATTTCGCGAATGGGGCGTATGGATGGGGGGTATAAAATACGAAGGGAAACGCGGAGTTGGCAGAAGTTGGCGGCGCTGGTGGCCGAGGTCGAAGCACCGAAGGAAGATCGGAGTACGCGCAACGTTTCCAGGCACGACGGGGTTGTATTTAATCGCGTGAGCGACAGATGACGACTTAAACGTTCCCCGGATTAATAATACATATCGCGTGAAGTGGAACAGCCGTTCTCCGCAGACTATAGCCGGCCGTGTTGTCGCCCGCGATTCACGGCAGTCCGTTCGATGGCTGGCCGAGTTCTGTTGTAACGATAAAGTAGAAAGGTATGTAGCTCGCTTCCGAGATTTAATTCGCACCTTGTGCTCGAGATTCGATTTACCACGTCACTGTCCGCATCGAGCGGCAACGGAGGCAGGAAGGAGGAACAGGAGGAGAAGATAGAGGAAGGGAAATGGTGGAAGAGCAGCGGCGATGGTGACAGGAAAATCCTAGGTTCGTTGAAAAGTGGAACGCTTCCGCGGATATAGCTTTCGCAATATCAAGGAAGCCTCCTGGACCAGTCCATCGTCCTTTATCTTCCAACCTTCCTTGCCAATTTACCTGCCAAATCGAACAGATCCATCGACTATTGTCCGTCGTGACACGTATTTGCAATTTCCAAGCCTGGAAATAATCGTTTAACGCAATCCTGAACCGTCCTAAACGAAAACGATCGCGCTAAAATCGATGGTTGACAAGCGAATTTAATTTTAGGACACACACGTGTTGCTATAGAAACAGACAACAGGCAATAACGACTCGTTCTACGATATACGATGTTAAACGATTGCATAATAAAATTTTATTATTTTAAAGTTTAAATTTGGAAACTTTGATTCGTCACGGTAATGAAAAATTAATAACGTTAGGGGGCTAAATATTTTGGAAGATATTTCTTTAACCCTCTCGCTCCTAAAGTTACGTTAATAATATTCCCTCGAATATTATTTCAACGAGAAATTTCAGAATCCTACGTTGACAAAATTTCTCTTCCTTTCCAAGAAAATATATTTTCTATCATATTCACCGTAACGTCAAAAAGCATCAGTTGACCGATTTCTGTCAACACTAGTTCGCAGGATTAACTTGCACGCAACGTGTAAAATTTTTCGTAACGTCGTCAATTCGCTGGAGCAGAATAGTAGTACAGATCAGTCATAAAGACCGAAATAGTCGTGGTCCACATGGAGCCGATACTCGCGAAAGGGGTGAGCAAGATGGCGTGAATGAAGGGAGCTTAGACAGGTTGTACGACTCGGATTTACCGATGCTAAATGGAGCATCGTGAATAATCATTTATGAGCAACGGATGACGACCAGGGTTCCTCCAACATATTCGTTTCCATTGTTACCGAGATGGCCCGAGGTTGTAAAGTTTGCGACGAGAAGTATCTGGCGCAGGTGAAAAGCGTTTCTCGTTTAAGCAGTCCGGAAATACTCAATTCTTGTCCTTTAAAACGGCGCAGTTTGCCAAGAATGCGAAATCCTTTGTGCCTGTTGGCCCAGCGAGTATTCCGGAGGACCACTTAACGCGGTACATTGTACGATTCGCGATTCAATCCGTGCGTCTACGGTGCATTTACAGTGCTAATTTCCAGTCAAGGCGAGGCCTAATTCAACGTTACCTAACACATTTCCACAAGCCCATTTTTTAACACGATCCTTCATTCAGTCGTGGTATTTCTTCTCAGTGGTTACAAGCTTTCTGAAGCCTTTTAAGCGTTTGTGTTGTAAACCATTGCCTTCGGGCCAGACCCGTCCCTCTTTGTTCTGGCCCCCTTTCTTCTTCCCTTTATTCTCTCGAATTCTGTAAAAATCCTCGCAGAGTCGCCTCTATCGAATTTTCGTTCATCCTATTGTTTACACTCGTTTAATACCGTTTAGTATTCATACAGTCACAGTCACGTATCCGTGATTTCGTTGACGAATGGCAATTACTCGTAAAAATTTTCGCGTAGCACGAAAAACAAGTCTCCGAATTCCGATACGAGACAAATTGACTTAAAGAATACCTAATTCCGTGAAAACAAAACGAAGACGAGGACCGTTCTACTAAATTGTTAAATTAATTTTACACCAATTTACCGATATTGACAATCGCTATAGTTCATTGCATCACTGGAATCATGGGATATTTCAAAAAGCAAATTGCTCGAGCTATCTCGTTTAAGGGAATAAAAATGTAGATTTTTCTCTGGTAGTTTTCAAAGTTGACACCTGTTCCGGGGAAAACGAAGCTCACGAGTAGTATAGGTACGTCACTGAAGCCAGCACGGCGTAGCATTGAA